GTAGTACACTTCCTCATTTTTAAGATACTAGAATAAACTATAAATTCATAATAGGTTTTTACTTATTGTTTTAGCATCGTACCACTACATGAATCTACCTTTAGTTAAATAATGGGAATTATTATAAAATGTTACCTACATTAAAATAAAATGCTCACCTATACATAAGCAATACATAGCTAAGCATATAATGTAGGGTTTTTTTATTAATGGGGTTAAATCATCGAATGACTGCTCCCGCCTGGGTGAGGCGAGAGGGAGTGTCAGATTCTTACTGACTAAAAACCACCCCGTTCCTTCTCCTGCACGTTGAGTCGGAGCCTCGGTAACCCGTTAGGTGTAATTTATAATTATGAATTACACAAGAGGTAAACCTAAGCCCTAAACTTTCAATGAAAATTCTAATAAGATTTTCAACACAGTACTTTTTATTAAGACTTGCCTTAAGTTTCTTATTGCAAAGCACCCAAGGTTGATTATGCAAATACCTATAGTGCTAGCGTCAGTATAAGCAACTTGAATTCAAAACTCGTTTTCAAAAATTTCTTGTTTTAAAATTCAAACTGGCCTTCACAATTATGGTTCTATACGACATGAAAGTATCAGTACAGCAAGAAAAATATTGATCAAAACCATTATGATTGTTTATTTGCAGACACTTGAATACTAACCAATAAAATGTATAGCCATATATCAGTTCAGTTGGATAGATGAATTATAAAGTACTGAGACGGTGTTATATTGTTCAGTGGCATGAAGTGCCGTAATGTGCAACTCTGTCTACCCATTCGGGGATAAAGCCGTGAAGTTATGTATGAATACCGAGCAAAGCAGTTCGAAATGACGCAGGTAAGAACACAGATAAACTTCTATGAAATATTCGTAATCATGGGAGTGAAAGTATGTTTGGGTTATCGATAATCGTAAACAAATGACATGCACGCAGTAAGTTCATAATATGTTTCAGAATGGATGGAAATTACCGCAAGTAAGAGATAGATTATTTAAATCGAGTCGACGTCATCAACTGATAATATGAAGACTAGACATACCCAGTTACTTAATTTAAAAACCTATATTTGTACAGTTACTAATTAATTAACATTCATACTTTTAAGTCAATTCAACATTGTTAACATCGTTGTTGAGTAACATCAAAACTAATGATTCGATTTTGAAGAAATTTGATGCTAAAATAGGTGTTGGGTTTACAAAAACAGTTATGTACCTACTATTCAATATTATGTCTGTGAATATAATTAGTACCACATAGGTAAAAGTGTACAACGCAAATCGTTTTGTGGAAAATTTCACTTTCTATGTGTTGAAAAAGATTTTTAAATATAAATGCAGGAAAACTAGTTTTCTGTGTAATACACAAAAGTTTAAGTACCATTACAATATTACACACGATGAAAGCACTAGGCACTTACACAAAGCTGAACAGTTTGTTTGTTTGAAAGGGCTAATCTCCAGAACTACTTGTTCGAATTGAATAATACATTTTGTGTTGGATAGTCCATTTATCGAGGCTATGCTCACGCTATAATCAATAGGAGCCGAGCAGAGCGGGGGTAGCAAGTAATAAAATATAGACCACAGGTTCCACTACAACATTAACAAATTTATAACGTATGGTTCAATGTGTCTGTGGTTCGATTCCCGGGTCGGCCAAAAGTATTACTCGGTTTTTAAAGAAAAATCTCAGTAGTAGCACGGAGTCTGGATGTGTGACTGGTATATGGCAATAGGCTTACTGCCTATTACATGGGACTCATAACATAAATAGTGAAAAGTGGGTGTTACTCTTCTGCGTGCATCTCTGTCTACCTCTTTGGGGATAAAAGGCGTGATGTTATGTTATGGTTCAATGTGAAAGAAAGACTTTAAAATTGAACTTAACACTTCATGCCCCTTCCACACGATTGATGTTTGCCACAAATACCAAACACAACAAATAAAGTCCCAAATATCGATGTGTAGCAAACCTGTGGAAACATCGCAAACTGTTTGCTGAACAGCCTGATCTGAGTTTGTGTTCGCCACTGTTCGACACCGATCCCGAACAGTGTAAACAAACACCCATCCACATGTAGGTGTTCGCTGTTTGCCTTTGTTTGCCAAGCGTATGGACGGGGCTTCACAATCATTACCTTCGTTTTTATTTACCAGATAAAGACTGGAGCGAATTTGGTGCAACTTGAGATAAAATTCCATGATCTTGTTAGGTAATCCTGTTAAGTTTTTTAGGGATCATAACATTACAATCTGTGCAAGCTGAAGTGGATTGAAGTCCATATATTATGACTTATGACACATTACGCTATTGCTTTGCGATAAAAACAAAATTCCATTGATCTTATCTACGATGAGACATCAATACTCAAAATAAAAAATGCGCAAACATCATACGAAACATTTTGAGTATTTGTTTGGCTAATATTGACGATAAACTTGCAAATCTATGATAATTTATCTGCAAATACTATGTTGTGCAATATTGACAAAGCTATTCAATTAATACAAATATTAACCTATAGAAAAGTAAAAACTAAGATTGACAGTAAAATGTAAATGATTTGTTGCTGTAGGTTATGGTAGTGACTTAGATCTTGAGTTTAATGTTCTCAGGTTGTGAACGAAGTCTATTTATAAACAAATGCAAAGAATGATGCAGAACCAAAGCTATTTAACGGTAGAACTACAAGATATTCATATCTGACTGCACGGTTGGTGCGGTGGCTGGGTAAATGGCTGCCACGAAACGTGTCGCGGGTTTGATTCCCGCACCGAACAACTCTTTGTGTGATCCACATATTTTTGTTCTGGGTCTGGGTCTCATGTGTATGTGAAATTGTATGTTTGTAAACGCACCCAGGACACAGGAGAAAATCCTAATCGTGTGGGGCAACATTTTATAAAAAAATATATACATATAATATATGTAGCTACTTCCGCGCAAAAAAAACGTAAAATATAGCCACTTCCGCGCGGTTGACTGGTCGCCTATTGATCGTAGCGTGATGATAGCTGATAGTCCATTTATCAGGCAAGGCCTATTATATAGCCTATAGGCTATATATATATTTGCCTATCACACTATGATCAATTTGTACTGCTTGCTTGTTAAAAAATAAGTCAGTGTATGAACAATACAATTTAAACAAATTTACTTCATATCTTTAGTTAATTGACAGTAATTATTCTGTGGATTATTACCTGGTCTCCCAGCCAATCAGATCCCTTCACAGTGTCGTACATGTGCCATAGCCAGCTATCCTCCTCCATGTTACCTGAAATAATATATATTGTGTGTTACTTATTAGTTTTATTATGAATCCATTTGAACAATTGCTAATGCACATTTCTAATTCCAAGATGTTTTCAGCTCAATTCTTAAATTTTTTGATATCCTAAAGAAACAGTTTTACACTGATACTGAAGGTACGCATTTTTAATCTGTGCAAACATTGACAGAAAAATATAAATAGACAAAAAATAGGAGCTACTTATATAGAAAAAATATGTTTATTAAGACTTTACCTAAAGCAGCATTGATTCCTCCTTGAGCAGCAACAGTGTGTGACCTAGTTGGGAACAGTTTAGTGACGACGGCAGTCTTGAAGCCTTCCTGCACCAAACCAAAGGCGGCCCGAAGACCAGCACCTCCGGCACCGATGACCAGCGCATCATGCTTATGGTCTATTACGGTGTAGGCTTTTGTTGTATTGGTGTTGCTTGAGGCATCTCTGACTGCTGTAGCTCCTCCGACTGACAAATGCAGGTTACGATATAAATATGAAGCCTGAAACAATATTACATTGTTGTAGCTGCTGAAGTATAGTAGCTGCTGAAGTGTATTTGTAGCATAACCATATTAATTTTATATACAAATGTAAAAATCTTATTAGATAATGGAGACGATTCTGGTTGTATGAATATTTTCAGAATAATTTTAATGTATTTGTATTGTACAGTCATTTATAATGTGAGTAAGTTTATTTATATTGTGTAGTGTATAAATGATATTTAAATGTGAGTTTTATATCTAGATAACTATGTAAATAACGCAATGTGTATGTGATAAGTGAATTAAAATGATTGACATTTATGTTGTGTACTGTCTAAAGAGGTGACTTCGATGACCTTAATCAAACCAAAACCTGAAGTTTTTCAGGTGACATAATAAGAGCTAAACACGTATCACAAAGTATTACTCAATATTTATTTGCATTCTTCATTCCAAAAATATTCCATCAGAGTTTATGATTTTAGATGCTAAAGTATCATATGATATTACTTATTTAACGTTGTAACGCAAATTTCTACATTCTAATGTGATTACCATCCCTCAATCGAGAGATTTCTTATGGTACGTATGTTCAAAACATTTTTTTGCCGTTTACCGATTACATAACGTTATTACGAATATTTATTAAAAACTGAGTGTTTGGACTTACCAATGAAACAGGGCTTCGAGAAACAGCTACTTTCATTAATGCACTCATGATGGAACTCTCTGTCCGCACCAAGAATACAATTTTTTGTTTTTCGGCGATCGAAAATCACATTCACGAACACTACCTTGCTGCGAGCTGTCACAAGTCACGCAAAATTGACATTAGCGACGTATGTATGACGTATTGACTATCAATTAACCAAAAAGTTTAGTATGTAATGCGTATTTCCCGCACATGCTTATTTACATTTGATCAAATCTATAAGAGCAGAGCACCTACCTGTATTTTATTATTTCAATAAATTGATAAATAAATAAAAAATAATTTTAATAAATCTTTTCGACATAGTCCACTCAAATTTTCCCTTGTTTATCTGTGCGATTCCTGTCAAATCAGCATTGTCTATGGTTATACTGTCAAATAGTAAATAACTAAAATTGAGCATGGCAATGATAGAAAAAGATAGAATTATGGAAAACAGTTAGCGAAAGCTAGATAGCAACCGTCGTATGCTAAAAGTATACACAGATCAGATAACTGCTGAGGTTATGGGATTATTGAGAACGCGACGTCCGGGTTCGTTGAAGTTCGTTCCTCCTTCACAAAATGCGTAAATATTTTGTAATGTTATTTTAACACTATTATAGTATTGTCTGATAACTTTTAATTAATCAACTACAAGTTGAAAGTTTGCTTAGTGTTGATATCATAAAACAATGGCTGAGAATCCTAGCAGCGATGGCCTTTCGGAGGCTGAAAGACTTAGAGGTGGGTGTTATTTAAAATTATTCTACTTCTGCCGAAACTGGCAAGTCCTGTAATGACACACATTATCTAATTACAATTAATCATTTCAGAAGACGAATTAGCCCAGGAATTGGAACACAGTGACTCAAACGAGGAAGATCAAGAAATATCATTAGAAATAGAAGAGAAGTTGTTGAAAGATGAACCTGAATGTAAGTATACATTGCAGATGTTAATTTTAACACAGATCAATAGACAAAATTATTAATACTAAACTTTGTAACAATATGATTCCCGTTTTCAGATACAACATTAGTCAACTATGGGGAGAGTTCACAAAATGCCAATTTGGAGACTGAAGTAATTGAAACCTACTCTGACAGCTCTCAGAATGTAGAGACTATTCATAGAGCTGATGAACTTGGTAACATATACACAGACAACTCTGACACTTTTGTTAGTTCGCAGCCAGATACTCTTGCTGACCAGTATGAACCATACATAAACGAATACTCATTTGACAACGGAAACCTTGATCAACAACAAGTAGACCTTACAGAGGACAAATTTGACAAATTGGAGGAAGAAAATAAGGACACTACTATTATACCAAACATGAATGACTTCCAACAGAGTGAATCAGTGGAATATGAATCTCAAATTACAGAGGAAATGTTAATAAATGAAAGGGAAAGAGAAAAGAAGAGTAAAAAGGAGTTGGAAGAAGAGGAGAGAGAAAAGATGCAGTAAGTAGTTATACTCTTACTTTTTCTTGCTTTCTCTACAAAATCCAAAGTCCACCATTGTACTAAGGCATTAGCCCAGCATTTTAAAAATAATAGTTGTCTTGCTTCTAGTAGGTGCTTATAATTCTACATATACCTAGTGGGAGTAGTGGGAGACTAACTGATTAATACTTTCTGCTCATAAATTTTATTGACCATAAATCCTATTACTTTACAGGGTTCTAGTCTCAAACTTCACAGAAGAACAGTTGGATAGGTATGAAATGTACCGTCGAGCTGCATTCCCCAAGGCTGCTATAAAAAGGCTGATGCAGACTATCACAGGATGTTCAGTCGGACAGAATGTTGTGATTGCCATGTCTGGTATTGCTAAAGTATTTGTTGGTGAAGTTGTCGAAGAAGGTAAGCAGAATTGTCTAAATTACATCATGTCAAAGTTAAATTTTCATAAGAATTGTTTTGAATCTAAATCGTAAATGTAATTAATTAATTATGCACAATTAAAATGTGGTAGCGATAATTAAAAAGTTTTTAAAAATGGCTGAATGGGTTAATAGATGCAATTTTACACAAATCTAGAAATACTAGCGTAAAACAGCATCTTTAGAAATAGCCCTAGTTTTTGTTGTTTAAATCCTAGGCTGTAAAGTTGTGAATTTGTTGAACTTTTGTTTTATACAAACCTAGTCTTGACTATGGTGTCTATGATAAAGATGAATTTTTAACATCCAAATACTGAAAGGATACTCAATTTTAAGTACCTACTCAAATACTGTCCTGTCTCTTTCGTTTTATAATGAATTTGTAGTCTCGTTGTTCATACAAAAGTAGTCTCTAAGCATTGGAAATAAGGTCTATCATGTAGTAAGTGGAGAGTGATCACCGGTGTCTGCTTGGGGATATATGGGTTAATTAAGTATCGTTTGAGTATTTCGACATTAATTTGATACAACTTATGTGCCTACAATATATTTCCTCTTCTTTCAGCTCTGGAGGTATTAGACAAGTCTGGCGAAGCCGGACCATTACAACCGAAGCATTTGCGTGAGGCTCTAAGAAGGCTGCGGGTTAGAGGTGCTATACCTACTAGAAAAGCACACAAGAGTATGTTTAGACTATAGCTTTGTAAGTACTTATTCATAACTTAGTAACTTAGGTATTGGTTGTCATTTTTTAATTCTAAAGCAAAACAAATATCATATGTTTTATATTTTTTCTATTAGAATATGATGTTGATTTGTTGATATTGTAAATAAAATCATTTATATTAAAAGTTTCGTAATATTTCCCAATTACAATCTACTGTTAACAATCTTCAATGTAACTAATAGAAATGAATAAGAATTAGAATGTATCCTCTGTTGTAACTGTTTAAAAATGAGCAATTAATATCAATTTAAGCATTTTTATGTAGCATATATTACAATAGTTAAGTCATTATCTTGTTTGTGAACAAAACTCTATACTTACAATAGGAATTTTATTGGGATTGACACGGAGAGAAATAATAGATTATCATTAAAATGTTAATTTATTACATGATAAAATCGTTATTTTATTAAAAACAATATACAACAGTAACTAAGGATTAATCAAGTTCGAAAACTTTGAAAATAAAATCAGTCTTGTTAAAATGGCCAACTATGTTGTGGACAAGAGACGTTAATGGAAATCCTTGGAAGGGTAATCAATATTATTTAAAAAAAATAAAAATGATATTCGCTGACAATAGCAAATAAAAAATTAATAATGTACACAAAATTCCATTAAAAACCCAAATAACATAAAGAAATTGGCACTTAAAAGTTATTTTTGAATTCATCCAAACTTCTATGATGAAATTTTTGTTCTACCAAAAATGAATTGTATCACAGATCTTACAAATTCCAAGGCTACCTTGGCCAGTTTTCGTTTGACATAAATTGCAACAGAAATTAAAACTTCGCAAACAAAATAACAGAGACCAACAGAATACATGACACTATCATCTAGTTAATTGTGAAGGCACAAATTAGTTCATAAATTATAGCAATTTGGTAACATTTTGTAAATAATATTACGTTATTAATTTATAGATAGCTACACATTACTATAAGAAAAGTTCTCACTTTACATCTAAGTAGTGGTCCAAGATTGTTTATTTGTGCAAAATACATACCAAAATTTCAGTAAGTATAAAAATATACTTCCAGTTTGAGGTAAATCTAAGGTAGTAATAATCATCCGATTAACTAACAGTTTCAGTATTAAACAATGTTATATGTAAATACATGAATGTATTTTTCATTTCCTCACAATGATACAACATTTAGGTACCAAAATGTTACATCATTTGATCATCAACAATAAACTCATATATAAAATGTATTAAACCACGCAAATAATTATAGAACACATTGCTTGTTTGGTATCCTACAAAAGAATCACGCGACAACTGTACACACAAAAAGAACAATTCCATTCGTGATACGTATAGTTTCATGATATCAATACTTTTACTGGTATGTCGTCAACATCACATGCTGGCTGTGAAATATGTTAGCATGCGCCCTTCCGAATAGCTGTTGTCGCTCCGGGCGCTCAGCTGCACCGTCCACCGCGGCACTCAATATCTATCACCAGTACGCCTACATAACCGGCACTACTTATAAGACTAGAAGTCGCTCACATAGAGTTCCCCGTGACGTTAGACGACGAGTCTCTTGACGCCACATTCGATGCAGAACTTGGCGGTGTCGACGGGGAACTTGTTGCCACATTCGTGACAAAACCGCGAGGGTCGGCGGCATTGCGCGGGTGCTTGGTCGCGCCGCCTCGCCAGGGATGCTTCCGAGCCGCTCGAGCTGAGCGAGGCACGCGGGCGCCACGTCGGACTCTGCCGCGACGACGCACGAGAACTTACGCGCTTGTCTGTGGATACAATTATACGAACATTATCTTATGCTCTTTATGGCACTATCCTAATGTAATAGATAATACATGTAGATATGTCAGCTCACCGATATGATTGTCTTGTTCCTTAAATAAAAGGTCTGGAGGTGGAAGAGGTTCGTCTAGCTCTGCCGACCGCTCCATCGCGAGGAACTCGTCGCTAGAAATTGACCTCACGTCCTCCTTGTGACTGCCGCTAGAGTCCGAACCCGCTGGGATTTGTTCTAAAGACGTCAATCCGTTGGGTTCCTTGGAAGTACATAATGAAAGTTTCGACGGGGATATCCTGTTTAAACTGTAAAGAAAAATACGTCACTTCCTGGACTAATCAACTGTATCAAATAATTGTAATTTTTACAAGTAACAAAATCAATAGCATTTCTGCATTAAATGAAAACAATTACCTGACTAACCTGCTATAAGCTGAATCATTACTCTGCTTGCCATTCGGCGTGTGGTTCCCATTGGTATGGTTTTCAACTTTCTTGATTTTTCGTTCAGTTTTTATGCGAGTATCCCTTTTCGCAGTTCCATTGTAACTTGGCATCTCTTTACTAGACTGGTTTTCGTTCTTCTCATTTTCGTAGAATTTGTCAAAATCTTTAAGAGACTGCATGAGGTCTTGTTCCAGTTGATCGGATTTATGGCGGCTTTTCCCACTGTCTATCTTGAGCGTATTTTTCTTTTGGATGGAATCGAGGAGGGAAGTGGAACGTTTCACAGAGGATGGGAAAAGGCTCTCGCTTCCTATATTGTTACTGCTAAAAGTTAGAGACATTGACTTATTAACTGGGTTCATACCATTCACTACTTTGGGCGATGAACTAACACTATTTAATTCTGATGTCCTGTTGCTATCAGCAAGCTCGGACTGTTTAACTACCCTAGTGGTGGAACTACATGTGCGTTTGTTCTCTAATTTCTGCTTAAGTATTTCTTCATCGAATGAAGTCATGAATTCTTCAAGGTCAAAGTCCTCGCATAGAGAATCGTCATCTCTAGTAGAGGTCTTAGAAGCTATACTTTGTTCTAATGAATACATAATTTTATCATACTGAATGCTTAGATCATCAGAAGTGGGGGCAGGGGTTTTACTAACGTTATTATTCGGTTCATCTTTCATGGTTTTGTTACACAGATCAGTAATATTATTATTGAAGTTTTTGTTATTGTTTATGTTGACAGTACTAAATGATTCGAATCTTTTAGGCAAGTTTTCTGTAGTGAGAAGAGATTCCATGCTACTAATGATATCAGGGTTATTTAATATGGTATTAACATTGATGGGCAGATTGTCATTTTCATTTATGAGCCTTGGATCAATGTAATTACTGTCAGTCATTGACGAATTGTCGTCAGCGAGGATAGCATCGAGATTGACGAAGTCTTTCTTCTCGTTATCTCTCTTTATTTTATCTAATTTAACAGGTTGTTTTATAGTCGTGCGTTGGAAGCTATGATACATGGAAGTAGCAATTTTAGGGATTTTGTCTTTAGGCTTAGGAGTACTGTAACTTGAAGCGGTGTAACTGGAGAAGGACCTATTCAAACTACTATTTCGATTGAAGTAATTCTTTTCGACTGTACTTATGTTTTCTTTACTGGATTTAGTAAAGGTTGTATTTAATTTTGGACTAGGCTTTTTGTCATTTCTATTAAGTCTAAATGAGCTGCAACGACCACCGAACGTGTTGGTACTGTTTTCATTGTTTGTGCTACCGAATGACTTCATTCTCTGAAGTGTGGGAGTTTTCTGATATGTTTTGTTAAGTGTGTCTTTTATCATTTTGCTGTTATCAGATCGTAGATAGGAGGACGAGCCTTTGTCTTTAGCGGGTTGGAGGGCAGGAAGGGTTCTGCTGTGGTCTTTGGAAGTTTGTATTTTTTTGGGAATGTTTGTGTCTGAGGACATGAGTTCTTTCATTTGCCTAGCAGCTGATACGAATGGATCGTAATTGTCGTCAAGCCTGTAAATGTAATAACAATGAAGATATTATTTTGGTTTTATAGATAGATGATTCACCAGTAAGTTGTTCTAGCAGTTAGACTCGAGCTTGGGTATCTTACCTGCACCGTAGCAATGTGTAGCCACGTGCATCGCCTCAAAGGCGCGCGCCGACACCCGCGCGCGCCTTCGACTCGGGTCTATCGAATCGGGGGCGGGGACTTCCCCAAGTCCTTCGCCCCTGGACCCATTCATGGGGGCCGGAAGAGGGCGTTGTCGGCCCGTCTCCTACGCCCGGTGCGCCGTCTGCGGTTGGGAAAGGAAGTCAACAAGATCTCCCTCTCCCGTTCCGCAGTTTCTTTCTGCGACATCACGTCCTCGCAGAAAGACACCACCGCGTCCCACGACTCTGTGCTGTCCACCATCTTCCGCACTACGGCCGGCAGCGACAGATCGCCTCCTACTTCATTTGTGAGGACACGGCGCTGCTCCTCCCAAGCTACACACTCGGCGAGCGTGTGTTGCGCTGTGTCCTCCCCGCAATGGACGCAGTGGTGGCACCGGGCGTTCGGCTCCCTCTCTATGCGGCACAGGTACTTGCCGAAGCAGCCGTGCCCTGACAGCACCTGCGTCACCCTAAACGACAGGGAGCCGTGCTTCCTCCCGAGCCAGTCGTCGAGTACTGGCCGGATCGCCTCGACGGTAGTAAGGCCGGCGGTGGGGCGCAGAAGCCTTTGCCGCCATTCCGCCACCAAGACCTGACGGAGCTCCTCTCGGCGCCGCTCAATTTGGCGCTGCACCGGCCTCGAGCCCCGTGTCTGCTCTTCCTCGCGCCATCGGTATAGTGACGCGAGTACTTTCGCCTCTAGGTCCCAGGGTGGGGAGCTTGGGTATCTGTTTTAACTCTTTCAGTCACACTTTTAACTGGTTACGAATAAATTTTATTTAATTATACTGAAATGCTTAAAAACTAATGAATAGTAATTTGAAGCATACTTCAAAAATTGAATTTCTAAGAAAAGGTGGTTAGCTACAGTGACCACCAAGACTGAAAGAGTTAAAACGGTAAAATACTCGAAGTCTACTTTGAACGTGGTGACTTACAATCATAACGTAGTCAACAAGATACAACAGAGATCACATTTTCTCTCAAATACCTAAATAAATAATAGGATTACAATTTAGATATCACTGTTTTTCTTTAGGATGCGCCAGTTCTAAATGAAAAATTAAACAGAAGAAAGGCTACAAGGAGTGCAATCGGGAATATGGAACGTTAAAAGGCTTCGTAAGGAGGCAGGAAAAAGGACAAAGTAGTCTAACCTTTTGTTTTCAATTCGTGGCAGCTTCAACGGGGGCACATCTGACGTTACTGATCCGTCGCTATTGTCGTTTATGTTTTGTTTCACAATAAACGTTTGGTACTCCTTATTAGTCCTGGTTTGTTCACCCAACATCTTGAATTTTTTGTTCGGTTTGTATATCATGTGCATTTTTCTATTATCGCACTCTACTTTATTTCCAGGTTTATTGGATTCCGTAATGGCCGGTAACTTAAAACACGAGTCTTTCTCATCTCGATGATTATCTTCTTCTAATTTGAGCTCATAAATGGTAATGTGTTCCATGTCACAGATACTTCTGTTGATGTCTGGTAAACTTGTAGCTTTTCCATTGGTTTCCTCAGATTTCTTTATTGCTTCGCTCAGTTCGCTCACTGAATTCCCAGCCCCTTTAAGCAACTCTCTCAGATTATTCTTCAACTCCTCAAATGTATCAGAGAATTCATGTTTAACTGATTCATTGATTGTAGTATCAGACATTTTTTGGTCGATAGCTTCAATAGAATTTGTTTTCGGCGTGTGAAACTGATCTAGATCATTAACAACATTTGAACATTCCTGTTCTACCTGATCGTTACTCAACAATTTGTCAGTTATATGCATGAATTCTTCAAGGTCTGCTGGGTCCTCAATGAATTTTGTATATGTTTCACCACTTCCATGCCGACCCATTTCTTCTTTGATATTTTCTTCATCATATTTGTTTTCTATGGATCCGTTACAGGATACTTCCGCACTCAAATCGTGCTCATAATCCACTTCGAAACGCTCTTCAGATAATTCGTGAATTTCTTCGTCAATTTTTTCACTTATCGAATCTGCACTGATATTCTCATTTGATATTTGTATATCTTCGATGATCTGCAATGATATATTAATGTCCCGACGTGTGACATCTGATATTGAGTCCATTTCATCGATACAATTACCAGAAGTGCTGGGAGTAACCAGAGAACTATCAACATTCGAATTGATCGTGTCTAGTTTAATGTAGGAATCGCTCATGTAGTTTCTGTCCATACAATTTGATATAGTAGGATTTTTATAGAGTAATTCAACTACGGGTTCGGGATTGGTATTACTTTCAGGTTCCTTAGCACTCTTTTTGTCCTTTCTTGAAGATTTATTTTTCTTGTTAATTTTTTTCTGGTCAGGATTGTCATGTATGATGCATGGAACACACAAAAGTTCTGTGTTAATTCCAATCGATTGACAGTTTTTATCGCCACTCATTGTTGGGCATTCTTCCAAACTATCTAGACTCATGCTCACTTCTTTAGCAATCTTGGTATCCTTTTTAGTTCTTAGTTTTATTTTTTTATCTCTCTCCATCCTAGATTTTTTATGTGCTTCTGATGCTTCTGAGGGTGATGATCTAGATGTAGGAAATGCTTTAATATTGTCATTGATATCTGTTGATGTCATTTCTCTAATATCATCACTAATAAATTGATCGATATCAGCGCTACTCTCTATCTTTGACTTCTTAGCCTTCGTTTTTTTAGGTATCGGTATTTGGCTTTTGTCTCGTGCAAGTTTTGATCGATCTTTTAAATCTTCAACTTCGGCCTTTTTCTTCTCACTATACTTGTTAACGATTTCTTCCAGTTTCTTTAGCTGTTGTTGTTTTCTTGCAATTAATTTGTTTTTTTGTTTGGCTTGAGTCGTTAGTTTTTTAATGTCCGGATCTGTATTACTTTGTTGGATATTCGTTATGTTCAAATCAGTGCTACTTGTCTGACTCTTTTTGCTACTTAAGTCAGGGTTGCCATGATTTTTCTTGATATTCGGATCAGTAGCACTGTGTTGAACTTTTTTGATGTTGGGTTCAGGTTTATTTGGTCCATTTTTTATATTAGTATCAACTTTACTTTGTTGATGTTTCTTGGTATTTGATGCATTGTTATTTTTATGGATTTTCTTGGTTATTGATTCGGCAGTACTTTGATTTTTCTTGACAATAAGGTCTGAACTACTTGGGTTGATAGAGGATAGACGGGGATCTTGTTTTTTTCTATGGGAGGGGAAAGGAAGGGTAAAGTCTTATTTCATTGTTTAGATAGTAACAAACAAGGAGACAGGAACAAAATCAGTATAACTAGATAGATAATAATGAAAGCATTGAATAATGGAGATCCTTCCTTTCCCCTTATTTATTACGAGACTTAAATTGATAGTAAATGTTTGCGTAAACATATGATGTACATACCTAGAGCTGCTAAGGTCCCTAGCGAGCCTGGCTTGTCTTGCTTTGACGTTGGCATCGCCTGACGAACTGTTTTGTGAATTCCTAGAGTTTCTAATCACTGGCATGTGAGGAGAAGGATCATCGTGACAGTCATTGCTGGAGACAGATTCTAGAAAATAAACATAAATCAAATTAGTTAAAGCAAGTCAAAAATATAGAAATTTATTTATAAAATTCATTGGATATTAATTTATATAGTTGTATCTGTAATCCGTATGTTGTAATAAGGTTGAAAATCTGGAAAAAAAATGTATGACCTGTAATAAAAGTTTGTTTTACCTGAAGCTCTGGCGCGTCCTTGTCTGTAGTCGCCATATTCTCGAGGTTGAGGGGGAGACACCCCTCGTGATGAGTCCACTGACGCTGACCGGCTGTTTGAAGACTTATCGCGTGTTTGTGATGACCTGAAACAAGAAACTTGGATTAATTACTCTTCTTTCGTGATAATCAGAATTCGATTGTCTTTGCTTTTTCCATCGCAGTCTTTTTTACGTGCGTGATAGTTATCATTGTGTTGAGCAGTGGCGTGCAGTCCATATAGACGAAAAGGCTTTGCCTACCTATAAATATCGTGAATATATAACATACATAAAATGTACAAACGTGTTTATTAAAATCCAATAATATAAAAAAAGTTTGTAAAAAAACGGCTAACATAAATACGCGCCTTTGTAAAGCAATGAATGCGCCCCGCACGCACCACGCATGCGCTGCTATTCCTTAAATCTTGGTCGCTAGTCGTGACGTCACAAAAGTAATGTACCAATAGTATGCACCGCGCATGCGTGAAGTTCACGACCATAGTCACGGTACAGAATAACCATTCATAATTATATTACACGATTCCTTTTGCTTGACAAAATGTTAGCAACTAAAAAATTAGAGGACCGTTCGTTCATCACTTGGAAAACGATCGTATTTTATTAAGAATTCTAAAACAATAAAACAGCAACAAGTTATTGTATTTTTAAAAACAATTAAATCATAAAAGGTTTGAAATTGATAAAATCTGTATATCGTAAAGTATTGATGAATGGAGTACACCAGCGCTATCTATTGAATTTTTTGTTGAAACTTCTGAACTCGTTCGATATAATGCGAATGTATTTTCGGGGGGGGGGGGGGTTTAATCATACGATATTTAGTTGCCTACCCTGTCTCGAAAACCTGTGCACGCCACTGGTGTTGAGTGAGTTGTACGATGAGTACCTCAACAAAGTTTGAATGGGTTTCAAAGTATAAAAAATAATTTGTTTTAATATCACACAAAAATAGCAGCCAGTAACCATAATTTCCTACTAATAATCAATAAAATATTTCTATACGATACGCATAACAATCATATTACGCAAACTAAACATTATAAACATAGATGAAGGTAATATTGTCTGTCCACAAACAACATAATAACGAGTCTGAACAAAAAACTAAGGCCAAGTTATTATGAGTAATGACAGTGACGGACACGAGTGAGGCTTTAGAATTCTATCTAGACTAAACGGCTACCGCGCACATCTATCAATTGTGCGCTTATGTAATGCTGCAGAATACTCATGCAATGACTAATAGTTCATAGCAGAAAAAGACGCTTTGTTTAAGCTCGGAATCTTAGATTTGTTTAAAAAAAATTAAGTCACAGATTGCTGATTGCAGGTCGCTGGCAAAATATTGATGTGGTTGGTCATTTTTCAGCTTATGTTTAGCAATGGACGTCGGTACGCCAATTAATAAGGGATTTTATTGCGTTTTTCCATCCTGAATTGTTGAACAGATTGCAATAAATTTCAGCTAAGTTAATCGACTTTGAATGATCATGACTAAGTGCAGTTACATTCACCGTCTATCTTACTGTAGATCTCGAATTTCCTATAAGCAATACTATCCCCCAGTGTAATTCTATGCTCTGATTTAAAGCTAATTAATCAATGTAGACATTGAATATCAAAGTTACATGTTACATTTAGTTCCTACTCTTTTTTATTTGATTAAGTTACGTTGCTTAGTACCTATCTACTCGAGTAACTTATTTGCTTCTTTTGAGTATTATCTTTTGGTGGTTGACTGGGTTCGGACCAAATTTTTGCAATCTTTGAACATAACTTAGAAATCTGGCTGGAACAGAGAACTTTTAGAGGCTTGGTAGCTATACAAATAATGAAGATACTGACCGTCGTCCGCGCACGGGTGGAGCTTTGTACTGCGTGCGCGCATTGAGACGCTGCTTGGCGTCGGCGATGTGTTGCGGTGGTTGCGCGGGCGCTGCCGGCAATATCTTCGCTTTATCCGCGCACCACTCCACGTGACGCTCGAATGCGCGTACGCCGAACGCACGGTTACAGTGCGGACACCTTTGTAGTTCAGCCATTGGCTGGAAATGGAAATTAGACTTATTAATAATGGCGTTTTGGATTTTGCTTTTGACGGAGATGACACTATCGAGTTGGGCAACATATCGCCATGTTACTTAAGATTTCCTAAATTGACATAAGCTGCCTTGGCAGTCTTAATAGGTCAACTAAGTAAATAGGTGAGGTTTTCAGTTAAACAGAGAATTCAGTCTAGAATAGTGTTTTTTTTTTTAATGGGACAAGCCCGCCACAACCTCCCAAAACCGCTGCAACTCCTGTAAGCCAGGATCTACAGTAGATACAACCATGAAAACACCAGAACACTGAAGTCCGGCGCGTCCCATGGACATGAGTAACTGTCTTGGTTCCCGCAACGAAGTGAATCAGAAGATATTATAAGAGGAGAAGAAAAAACTATGGTTTTCACTTCCCTCGGTGAATTACTGCAGGAGACAGAATGAATTAAGCCCAAAGGCACAAAGAAGAGACTGTACAACTGGGTGAAGCCCAGTCTAGAATAGTGTAGTGAAATTAGCTCTTAGAGTCTACTTTCCAACTTGAGTACTTACAGTGTTTATTAGTAAAATAATACATTTTCTAATCCTTTCAACGAGTAGGTAATTAGTTTTCGTCTTTGTTAAGTAAAACTGTTGGTAACTGAATAGAAGTTAATAATGACTATACTCAGTTAAATATTAACATGACAGAGTGGCGTTGTTACTATGCCAGTCATTAGCACTAAATGGTGAAAAGACTTGCATATATAAGGAAGGACTTATCCACATATGGGTTTATTTTCTATTCTGTTTAGAGAAATTTGTATAGGTGTCACTTACAAATAAGCTAACATACCTATTCGTAGTCTAGACTTAGATGACATTTACATTTTATAAAGTATCTGTTCGAGATAAGCTCAAAAACTGCTGTAGGGATTTTTATGCAGTTTCCTCTTATGGGTAGATGACAATTTTAGTGAAGGTTTCTAAACCAGAAGCCCTGACAAACCTTTGCTTTAGGTCATCGCTTATCCTCGGCAGTCAAGACGCACATGCCTGCTCTATGTACACTTTAATTTCACATGTTTATAACAATAATTCTCTAAACCACTTCAACAACGTATGTCAAATGCATTTAAAATATTTGTCCGAGCATAGAATCACTGGCACGCGACCGAAAAATGTAAACGAACAATATAAAGATATTTACAACAAAGTTTTTATTTTTAACGAGCTACATGTTATATTACAGTACAGATTGAAAGATTACCTTCGTTATAGCGTTCCTGACGGACTGTGGTTTGGGTTTTGGCGTCGGCTTAGCTGTGTTCGGCGGACTTTTCTCTAAGAACGGACTGTTTTCTGGAAGACCGAAGTTCTTTGGCAAGTATTGCTCCAAGTCTGTACCTAGAAATTGAGAAGACATACGTATAGAAGAATCCTGGGTATTCATAACCCACAAAGATGTATCACATGCCCAAATCAATACCATTAGTAATATAAAGCATGCTAGATAACATTTCAATTCGTAGACGTGATAAGTTTGTTACTAGTTAAAGTGAATTATAAAATCCATTATGCAATTACATTGGACAAACCGTGCTCATGTCATTGAGATAAATTGTACTGAGATAAACATACACACACACACACACACACACACTCGGTGTAACTACTTGAAACGACACAAACAAACGTGCAACAAACAGAATTCACTGGACACATTTTCTCTAATAAGGAAAACAAACATTTTAATCACCAGATGTTCTGTGTCGGGCCGTGGCAGACATCCCATGCATTTCTATATGCTAAAGACTTAATTACGACAACCATGGTGCTTAGTATAATGACGACGACGGTTACTTTAGAGGGCGGAGTTGCTAAACGTAGAGGCAACGTGTACAAATAAATATGCAAATACAGACCTCGTTAGAGTGGGACGTCATATTGTCAATGCAAACACAATATAAACATTTACATAAATATTTTTAAACCTCACTTTTCAACGGGTTAAGGGACTCCGCGGTCAATCAATCTTACTTAATAATTGCATATAATTACTGTGTGGGTCTTCGACTTAACAATGAGCCAGCCAAACCATCATTCATGAGAATTAATTATGTCACTGTGATAAACGAGACATTTTGGAAATTAATTTTTGTTTTTAAGACATAACGTGACTGCATGAACTCACGTATTTGAAATTACAGCATTAAAGTAGTTAAGTTATGGTTGTTCTCATCTTAGTTATAAGTAAAAAATGCTGTTGCACAGGTTGTAGAAGCAGACACAAAAACGTAGTGTTTTTGTTTGTATCTGTACGCAAAGTATGACAAGTCACGACCATTTATAATGCAGTAGGACGTGTGTGGCTGTGTTAGTAAAACGTTCACATACAATGCTAAGGAGTCACAGTTAAATATGAATGCCAGGGAATATGTAAACCGTTCACCCACTCACCGGAATTAGCACCGTTCGCCGCGATCAGCCCTTTTTACCCACAACAACAAAGGAAACGTCAATATACATAAATAAATCATGCTAATATCAAAACAATATTATAATATAAACTACTTACTAATACATTACTAATATGAGATAAAAAAAAACTACCTAGATCAAAGAACAAAATCAAAAAACTAACATGAATCATGGTGTCATGCAAAATCTCCCATTTTTAGGAACTAAGTTAAAACGCAAGACTGTAGTCAAAAAACAAAAGAAAAATGAGTTAGTAAACCCACAACCTTCCTTGATTTATTATCAACAAAATGATGAAGGCTAATAAAGAACTTCATTCAAAAAACAAACTAACCAAATGAGATTAAAACCGGCAAAAAATCTTATCATCTTTTGTAATATCATTTAGGTCAAAAGATATTAATTAAAGCAAAACTTTTTCATTAATTGTCGATTGCCTATCTGCAATGTTTTTTTACCACATAGTCAAGTGTCAACATTGTTTTCAATCACTACATACATAGTCTAAAATTGGTAGTAATTAATCTACTGTTGACACATTGAAGGTCAATTTAGGAGGGGAATCAGCGGAGTATGATACTGTCCCATTTTCTTAAATTATAGTCAGTTTTTAGCGCAACCCGAGTCAGAACTAAACTAATGGATTAAAATAAGGAATACACACCTTCACGTCTCTGTCTGGAAGAATCAAATGTTTTCCTTTTCTTCACTGTCATCTTTTCACATATTTTCACGTGTTTTGCCAAAGATTGTGGCACGAAGGTTCTTCCACAAACTGCGCATGGCAGAAGGGGAAGAGGAGCTGCAGGTTCGGGGGCAACTGGAGCTATGGGGTGTGTAGGCACTGGTGGTGAAGGTGGCGGCCCTGCCCGGCTTGGTGGCGGAGTCCTCAAGATGGGCCGGAACGAATCATCATTGCCTGGAACCGGGGAAGCCGCCCCCACCGGCTCAGGCGAAGGCGAACGTGAAGACTTTAAAGGTTGTTCTTGTTGTCGCTTGCCTGGAAAGAGAAAAACATAATTGAACTATGGATTACACGGAAGGACAGGCAAATACAAATAGTTCTTCTCTTTTCCAATAACCAGGATTTACCAGATGCATCTAGATGACCGATAAGCATATGATTATAATGAGAGCTGCATGTAGAAATTCAGCGAAGTATCTAAAGGTTGAGACAATGTAAACATTATATAGTTCTAATACGGAAATAAGAATTTTCAATTACACAAAATTGAGAAAACAGGACGTTTGTAAATCATCGTTAAAATTGGGAATTCGACGATCCTAAGAAGGGGTGAGCGGACCAATAAATGTAAGTTTATTTTGATTACCACTTATGGAAAAAAGGCTGCAAATCTAATCGAACACAAACCTAACTTTTGACTGAAAGTAATAAAAATAAACCTATTGGTATACCAACAAACAAATAAAGAGTAGGTACACCGCCCACAAGTCGTGAAGGTCATTGATCTGTAATGATGCAGCAAAAAGTCACAAGGGGTCTCAGTCTCAGATCTTTGTAGTTAGTGCTTTAAACGAGGATGATGCACGTAGCTAACTAAGTAAGTATTAACAAACGAGAGACAAGATTAGTCCCTTCCTTAATAGCTATAAATGGTAGTGTAGAGTAGAGAACAGTGTACACTAAAATAACTATTTTAGGTCTATGACATCACCGAAATCAGAAATAAACCGTCGATGTGTCAGCAACACTGCTAACAGTAGGCAGTATTTTGCAGCTGCCATCTATGACATCTGCAGTAATAGTTTCTAACTTAAATCATCTGTGAGATTCCACAACAAAAATAGACATTGCAAAAGGTCATATGAAATCACCAGTGCATAATACACGAGTAACTAATTTATATGTCATTATAGCAATAATTCAAAGCTTTCACATAAATGACAAGTTTGCAGCACTTACAAGGCCTAATGATGGGCAGTCCATAAGTATCACGTGTGAGGTAAGTATCCGGTATTACTTTAGAGACTTAAGACACTTTAAAATTTTTGTATTTGATAATAATGTCTGCGGACATCAACATATCGATTAACTTATTTACATAATCACCGCAAAACATCTTCAGCACTTGAGGAAAAATAACTCAAACAAGACAAGCTTGGCAAATAAAGATGGCATTGATTTTTACAAAGGAGTCGAATGGATTAGATAGGACTCGGCTACACCTAGATACCTAGACTACTCTGAATTTGGCGTTAAGATTTCAATCACATCCAACGCGAATCCAATCCTTCGCACGCTTCGCTCATAACAAATCGCAATACACAAAATATTCCTCACAAAACATTCACATTGGTAGGTTCGTGACATAAGCCGTGGGTACAATTTCAAGGTTACACCAAATATTCCTCGACTGAACCCGGCAAACGAAGCTCATGTAGTGGTATTTGAAAATTTAATACCAAAAAATGCCTTCATTCATCGTCAAATTCATGCAAGGGCGAATAGCAAGTAAACATGACGCAAGCCAGCGACCACAACCTCTATATTGATTAGTTAAATTACTACCTAGGTCACGCAACCTCCATCTAAATAAAAATGTTCCCAACTTGTACTCCGACGACAAGGAGCAATTCGTCGTTCGATCGTGCAATGGAGGGTATCAAAAGCGCGCATTACTTGACAAAGGCACAGTTAAAAGCCGTGTAGGCGATAATGAAGAGGGGGACACTTGACCTCAAACAAAAGAGATAAAGGATAGGATGACGCGATTTCATTCGACCATTTTATCGTTCAATAATAATCCTTTGCTAACACAAATACTGGTATACCTACTAAGTTCTAATCTAACCACAGAACTAAGGCTCAAGGAGTTGCCTTGTTCAAGTTTACTCCATGTGTTAATTAATTCTACTACGTGGATGTTAAACGGCCGCTTCCTTTCGTAATCATATTCGTATACGATTAATATACCGGTTTCATTGATACGTCAACCGGTATAGTAAGCTTTTATATAATCCATAGAGGACATCGGTTACAATACAAACCGGAGGAACAGGGCCATTGATTTAAAAATAATTACTTGATATACCGACTGTCGGCTGCTAATTACGCGTTTTATCATCAGCTGATCATAACAGGCAATTCATATCCACACTTATGTACAGTAAAAGTCATAAGCCAGAGTGGTGTCACGTGGGAAGTGGGACCTACAACCTACAATGACTGTCGGCAAATGATTTTAAATTACGTTTCAATTCTTTGGAATTGTAATTGGATTGCTGGAATCGTATACACAAGTACTTACTCCGCATTTAGCTTGCATTAATAATGTATAATGTTTGTCTCGTACATTAGTACCAACAACAAACTGGTTAAGTAGTATCAAATAAACAAATCTCAATCTTATCTAACCGTGTTAATACAAACAAAAGGTGCATTTTATGTGCAATAAATCATAAATACCATCGATAAAGGCAGCGGGTTGTGCGCGGCCGGGTGGCTGAACTCGCAGCAGCGCAGGCGCATCCCGTTCGAGGGCATTCAAGTAGCACGCATGACTCGACTACTAATTGACTTTAGTCGGTCTCGGTAAAACAGTTCTCTAGTTTAAAATAGGAACATCTCGATAGTTTAGGAGGAACCGGATGACTGCGGCCCGCGCCCGATTACTTATCTTTCGTTTTTGAACTATTGGAAGGCAATAAGAGATCAATGGCGGAGAAAACAAGTTCTTATCTTCGGAATATGTTATTTGTGGTGTCAATAGCAATAACACTGTAATTATAAGGGTAATAAATAAACAATTGCAGTTAACTGCAGGTGTAATCCAGACTCATAAAAATTAAACACCAAGGTAAGTATCTAATTGTTTGAGTACAATAGCCAACGCACAAACAGGCCAGAGTTTACTAAGACACGAAACCAAGGTCAAGCTCAATAGCAAATTATAAAAAACAGTTACTTAAAATTCTAAATGTGTCGCAGGTTTTCACCAATTTTAACCTTTCCGAGAAGATGTTGGCTGTTCCCAATATTAAAGAGCGTAAATCCTATATGCGGTACGCGGTACGTCGTTCACGCGTGCCGTGAACACAAATTGATACAGGTTTTATTTAACACTGAGGCTGTTAACAAGGAGACCGTTGTCTGGTCGGCACCGCACCGTACACATTCGTACTACATCAAAGGATTCTGTTCAAGTAATGAGCGGAAAGCAACTAACGAACTTCGATTAAGAATGCGGCAGTCGGTACTCTATTTGCGGTTGTAAATAAAATACTTTTAGATGGAAATAACCGCATGGAAAACTAGGCTAAGATAAATCAGTAAACAACGCCAGTTATCTACACAATATTTCCTAAAATAGACTTAATTATACATTAGTAGAATGTGACGCTAATCTGCCATATCTTGTACGGCAAATATAATTGCAAGTGTGACGCGACGCACGCCGACCTGAATACCTTCCACTATCGCAGCTCAGGAGGAATCAGATCACATAAAATATGTTTGATTTTGTATTAAGTTGCTTACAACCCTAAACACATTTTTATGTACCTTGCTTGGTTAATGGGCCCATAATAGAATTTATTAGTAAACGGGGTTCTGTATTGGCTCGTAGAAAGTAATCATCCAAGAAATGAATCAGATTTGAGTTCACTTGATGTATTAAACACCAATTAAGGGCCCGACACGGTCTATAAGTTCCATTTGTTGGAGGGTAGGACACAGGTACCGAACGTGTTGAATGAGGGTTAGGGTGACATGTACTCGGCGGTACCTGGCACAGAATTTGAAGCATGAAACCCGGAGCTGCTTATATGGGAGGGTCATCGTCTTGGTAAAAACTTGAGTTTTCTCAAGTTCACCGTTAAGCCATGTAAGTACGTAAGATATAAGCCCCCCCAGGAATAGATCCGGATTGTCTGCCCACTAAAAATAGAACGTTGGATAACGATTAATGACTTTATAGTGCACATGAACAAAACGTTCGAAGTAACGTAGTTTGAAGTAACTCTTTGAATTTGAATTTGAACTCGTCATATCTTTGGCTGCTATACATATAAAAATTAATTTCTGTTTGATCCTGAATTCAAGCTTATTATACTTAAGCCCTTCAGTTTGCACGTGATCATTTCGGTAGTGGTGTTTGTTATTAATATTCAGTCGGCCTAACAAACCGGATAACGTTCAACAGAATAATATAGTTGTAACCATCTTACGAATAAGACGTGGCCGCATACGTAACTTGTTATGAAAAATGAAGTGTTTAATAAAAATTATGAAATGTCAGTAAGAGACAAGAAGAATTAGATAATGTTATAATTTTCATTAGAAAAGAAAGCGTGTCTACGCTCTGAACTTTAATTACGAGGCACAAATCGCGTGAAGAATGCAATAAAGCACGAAATTACTTCCTATCTGAGCAAACATTGCGGTCGAAGATTACTTACATGGAGGAATAGACTTTTTACCATTATTGTTCCGATCAAAATTATCATGTCATGACGCGATCATTTGCACAGCCAGTCCACGCTTTGGAAACTGTGGTATGCGCAGACAATCGATGATTAATGGCAGTTTAGAGAATGCATTTGTGCGTACACAAAAATCTGTATAGAAAGCGAAATATAGACTGCAGATTTTACAGTCATTCAGGAGAAATCAGAGCTATTATAGTTTGACAATACTGTAATGTAAATAGTAGTCCAGTTTGATAGGTTCCCATACACCATTGTTCATCAATTTGCGTTGACTCACGAACTTGCTTGACATGGGAACGAAAGTGACCGCTGTTATATGAACCGACGTGGCTTTAGAGCATATCAGACACTTTCATACGGAAGGTTATATTGTAGTCGTGAGAATTAACGTATGCAAACAACTAGATGTACGGAGCAAGATAACGTGTGAGTCTGTGAGTTTACTCTGTTTGTTTACACCTCTTACGTAAATAAAGGTCAAGTGAGTTTGAGACGTGACGCTTTGACGTTGATCTCCTAAAGTAGAACATGGAGTACAGACCCAAAATTTATTTGTAGACCTCATGTCAGACGTGTTGGGTCAGGCTTTGAAAACTTGTGTGCGCGCCGTGGGTACCTAATCAACTGAGTTTACAATTTGTAAAAGCTACATAAAGGTGAAAATGGCAAACGCGTTTTAATTTGCACATCACGTACACTCAAAGATGTATAACATTATGCCTTTGCCATTTACCTACTTCTTAACACAGTTAAATAAAATATACTTTTTTTCATCATAGAATCCCGAATTTTAAAGAAATGTTTAACTTGGTAAGAATTCACAAATTAAATTGTAATTCAAAATCTGACAAGATTCTGATAGCAATTTTGATACATTCTAGTTTATATATCTTGGGATACGTAGGCATCAAAATTAACGAGCGACAAATACACGAAAGAGATAACCCATTTAGCCAAAGAAGTAGTACAAATACTAATTAGGAGCAATCAGTGAAAGTATAATTAATGAATGATACTTGTAAGTCATTGCATCAATAAACAAATAGAAATCTGGTCTATCTTCACGCTGACTGGTGCCGTTGCGTTTGCTCTGATTCCGTATCATAAAACGCTGATGAAAACTAATATCGTGATCTCAAATATCTTGCCGGAATAATTCCAATGCGGCGATATCTTCGCGTCTCACTGCAAATATTATGTTCCGAATTAAGATTTCACAATTGTATTTTATTGAACTACCAATATGCTGCAGCTGAGTCATTTGGTCATTCAGCCGTATCGTCTCATGAAGACATTTGAATTTTATTGATAGTGAAATTGCAAGCTTAAAATGTAGATAATTTTACATAGTTGAAAGACTCAGTATTTGCTTGTCAGAAAATTACCATAGACAACTACAAGGTCGGTCCTAGTCTAAGTATGAAATATTACGTTTCTGAGTTGTAACAACAATAAGATGACGTAGTGGTAACTGACATTTAACCTGTTGGCTAGTTGATGATAAAAACAATAATCATTAAGACTGAGACCACTTATTTGTGAGACAATACCATTTATACGAAGTCAGTAGTAATCTACAAGTCATAAAAACAATCAACGAATTTCTTCTAAACATCTTATTGAAAACTTATCAGAGTATGTAATTAAGAAAACGATCTGGTTTGTGAGCATGTGTGAAACAAGCGTTCAGACAATCCTAAAGATATGGGAGCTAGATTGTATCACACTATTTGTCGAGGAAAATGCTTACTGAAAGTCCCACGAAAGATAACCTATTACGAGTTAAAACAATGGACAAAGAACCGCTTTTACTAAATAACTTATTTTATTCTATGTACAATTAACTGAACAGATATCAAACATTCTAGAATGATTAATGAAGTGTCTACCACAACTAAAGTCAATAAAGCAATTGTCATTAAAAACAAAAGGAAGGTCTTCAAAATTGTTCTTTAAATAACGCTTTAAATATAATATTGTCTGTCCACATCAACCTGTTGCTAAACAACAAAGTAAATACAACAATTTGGGTGCAGATATATAGCAAGTAATTGAGAACTTACTTTTTTTGCGACGAATCCTAAAACCGCAAAGCATGTTGAATAAAATTTGAACCGTTTTTATTCACACAAACTGTGTAGTTACACTGCGAACATTATCTTGTACACTGAACTTAAAACACACAGTAAGCAGTAGGTTTCAGCATTCGCAGTCACCACGTGCTTATCACTAAGTATTGTATTGTGCCTAGACCAATAGTACCTATTCTTTTAGGTACATGTGTTCACTCACTGGCTGTGTTCAAGGTTCTGATGTTATTTTGACCGGATGAGTTAATTTAATTTGTTTTTATCAACTCCGTATTATATTGTGGTTAAAGAAATATTTAACTATAAAAACTTGTTTCAACAAAATAAACTGGCAGTGTTTTTGTTAATGATAAACTGACGTAAATAAGAATTGTGTTCTAATCTGTGGGTAGTTTCTGAATAAAATGACAGACAACATGTTAAAAATACTTAATCGGCCGTTGCCGCAATTTGAACAAACGAGTACTTATGTCATCTAATAAAAGCTTTTAAATTTCTCAAGTAAAGTATCTTGAAAGGGCAAAGTTGAGGCTGTGAACGACCGTTATAATATTATTAAATGCACCGCCCATCTTTCACCCCACGGCGCCTGCGCCGGCGGGAGATATTACGAGGCTTTTCATAATACCATCGGCTCGTTTGTTGTTAAAAATCAAAGAGCAAGCAGCTGTACATCGCAAACAGGGTCACACCAATAAAAAAATGTGACAGTTGCTCCAGCTGCGTACTTGCGCAAACAAATCTGACATTCTGAACGTTATTTCCAACGACCAGAGAAAACTTCGAAATATCAAACCAAATTTAATGTTAAGAGAACGCACCTAATTAGAAATTAAAAACAGTCATATAAAATGCAATAATTGATACAATCGAACGAATGAATATTTATGTATGAAATAATTACGGTTGTTAAACGTTATTGTCTTGGAAATATGCAATTGACTCTGAAGTTAAAAACAATTGTATAAGTGCATACTTTTTCACTCGCATTTGTTTCACTTAACAATTAAGTATTTTTATGACAGTTGAATGTCTTTCATAACTACCGGGGGTTATTGTGGCAAGAATTATTTAAAAACAAAAGTAAAAAATTACCTTTCTTGGAGCCGAATATAGACTTGAGTTTAGAGATGGTCCTCTTCTTCATTTTCAGTGAATACTTCTTACAGCATTACAACAATTCCAAGCACAAGTGTTGTAGACATCGGTTTACAACAGACAGAAATACATTCGACACTCGTCCTAAAGTTTTTCAGACGATCTCAACTTTTTGCTCCTTTTGCCGCTCTTATTTCCGTGCTACGAAAATAGTCCTAACGCAACACTTGCACCGCGCCGCAGACGCATCACTCATACGTATATTACGTTTTAACACGAAACTCTTCACTTAATTACTTTTTCTACTATCCAACACAAAAGCTTTCCGCAGAAAAAAACACTAACACAATGTCATGGTACTTTTACACCGCCAATTTTAGTCAACAAACACACCGATGCCCGTTTTTCCTTATCTATCGTAACTGCTTATCACGTACTATCAATATACAAACCCACGTCAGGTGATAACGTGTGAAATATATGTAATACAAATTAAATGTAAATTATGAGCACGACTTCATGGCTGAGGTTCCAGTGTAGTACTGAAGCAATAATATCTCCTCGTACACAAGTACACAATAATAATAATCAGCGGTACGTTTAAATTTTTAAAGAACCACTACAGGTTGTTGCACAACCCGCTGATCGCTCGCGAGTAGTACCGATACCGACACCCGAACTAGATAAACCTTTCAGCCAGGAACCATCACTGTGACGCCTATTCTTGGTCGTGCTACGAACGCAACTAAACACGCAGCGGCGCACGCGCAACACACGAGAATAATAGAGAGCTTGACCGGTATACGCTACACTGGCACAAAAATTGTCAAACTTCTAGTCCCCTTCCGCTTACAGAATCCCATTTCCGTCGGAATTCAATCAACCGGAGAAATGTATGAACTCGTTAGCAATATTTGGATATACCGGCGACGCAGTGGTGACAACACCGGAGGCAACGCATCCGCCGACTACTTTTTAAAAATGGAATTTAACGAATGGCACTTTCGGGAAGAGCGACGATTCAAATCTGGATAATGGGCTCGGACTACGTATAAATCACCAAGGGGTGCGAACGGAATAAACATATGAACGGCTCGGGACGGGGAAACAGGACAAAAGAAGCAAAAAATAAAGGAATTTAAAGCTCACAGAAAAAATACTATTGAAGTACGATTCGTGTGAACAGTGAACATTGCAATATTATTTAAAAGAACTATTGCAGCAAGTACTCAATTTAATCCAATTATAGACTTTATTTTCATTGAAATTATGAACACAAATTCTAGAAAGATACTTTTCGCCTAAGAACTCCGGTCCATAATTACGACCACTTTAGATGCGCGGTCGTTAACGGAAACATAATGCATCCTCTTTGAACCGTCAACTAAATTAGTCCTGTTGAAAATTGCTTCCTTAATTTCGGTGGATAACGAATTTAAATGATTACATTAGATACAACTTTTAACTAGACTAGAAGATCTTGCAAAAGTTTAGTTCGCCTGTTGTTATTGTTCAGAGAGTGCATTGACCTTAAGCGGATTACTATATCGTGAGCACATTGAAGCTTTTGTAATTAGCAGCATCGGAGAACATTCACTACATACTCTAAGTTCGTCCAGACTTCCATTTCGCAAAACAAACATGGTTGTTTACGCCTTGAAATATGCTAACTTGTAAACGAATCATACATAGTTGTGACACAATTGGCACTTGGCATATTCAGTTTGTTTAGGTTTACTTCATCCGACCGTCAGCGATGGGGAGTGGCACTTACGAAATTAATGTTATTAACACTTTGAAACAATTTGCAAACGACATTCGACATGATACTCAAGTGGATAACAATGAAATGTGTAGAGAACGTGGAGAATCAGTTTACTGCGTGTTTTTTTACATAAGAGCAATATATATTGTTGTTTAGCTATGGTTACGAAAATATTGTAAATTTCCTTTGCATGTAGTAATAGTAGGTACTGTACAAATTATGAGTAGGTACACACTGGATTGGTTTTAAACCTCGACGTAAAAAGGGGTTGTTCTCAGTAAGTCTCATATACTTATATATTGTCGGTCTGATATATCCACGTAACCCGAGGATTAATTAGACCAAAGAAAGTGTGTAATCACAGGGATGTGTTGTATTCCCTTATGTTCTAATCCGATGGTGAGTTACCTACTGTTATGGAAAGTTAAATACAAAAGTTGAAGCCTAACGTACCATATGAAGCGAGCTAGCTAAGGAATGATAATAAGTTAGTGTATCATGCTTGGTGGACCACGGAACAGGTCAACCACGCTAGGCTTGACGAGAGAAAAGGAGGGAGAGAGTTTAATAAATTCATTGCCGATTTCTGTGAGCATGATGCTCCAACAATCGCACGCAATGGTGCGCGTCCAACCGCTGTCTCACACTTGGTTGCGCATCCTAACATACCTACATACACATTTTTGGAAGCTTTCAGTAAAAGTAAAAGGTAGCTAATCGTTTACATGCAAAAATTAAAGATTAGAAAGCCAGATACAAGTTCCTAAATACACCAGATGGCAATTAATACTTTTATAACTGAATGCGCATCAAATGTTTGCGTGATTTACCGATGTAAATTACTATTCTTTCCCCGTATAAATCAACCATTGAAAAGTTCACTTCCAGATTTGATTATACGCTTCGATCTGACTGACCGCAGTCTGCAACCATGTGAAGCAAATGAATTTGATATGTAACATAAGCCGAGATCTGATCAAGTTTGGAGACATAGCGGTAACATGTCACGTTGAATATGGACAGTAGACGTCGGAAGTATTATATTAATTGTCACTCTAAACACGACACTTGAAGACAAAACATATAAGTAAAAATAATCACTGTACCTAATGAGGATAACCTCATGAATTGACTAAAATAACGACACAAATTCTGCAAGGAAATGCCAAATCAGATATTTAAAATAAAACTACAATAAGGAAAAGCGTGGGAATAAACATCTACTGACAATGCAGTGCAGAATTAGCGTTTACGAGATCATACTACAAACTACAACACAAAGGCTAGTCGAAACAAGTGCCCAAATGGTCCTTTTAGTTGGTTCACATGCCCGTAACGAGAACTAGTAATATGAGCAGTCCTCACTAAACCAGTTCATAGCCCTTTATTGTCACTTGACACTCAAAACAAGGAAACTGCGGTATCTGACTCACAAGCTACACGTAACTTTAAAGCCCAAGCAAATAAAACAATAGGTCCGTTTTATAACGATACTAAAAGTAATTGACTCTCGTTACAAGCTGTTACACAACCAGTTAAAAATACAACAGACAGATTGACAAGGATCACTGCGAAAGTAGCAACAGGATTAAATATAGCTGACTCCATTAACTTATTTTAGCCGATTCCATTCTTAGAAATCGCTAAGTTTACTCACGATAGCTATAGTGTCGCTTCGTTGCTGCATGTTACAAGGAAAATAGGCGTCACGTCTTATCTTTGCATCTCAGTTAACTATCGTAGGTGTTAAGTGATTGTATAACTTGTCGTGCGCATAAAATATTGGCCCTATTCATGTACTACCATGTTTTAGAATAAGCGGACAGCTTACACAATGTATACGATTTGTTAATGTGATAGGGCAATATACTAATAAACTTATAGCTAATATTATACGTCAAGGTTAATGTTTGCATAGATTCAAATGCTTTACAAGGAACTTGAGTAAACCGTGGCGTATTGATGAATGAAGAATTAGATATGGAATTGAATGAAATAGTACAATGTATGTTAGTAAACATAATAAGCGCTCAAGATGAAGGACACACCAAAGTAAACATGAATGATGTCGTAACAGAATTAATTTACTCAAACATAGTCAATGCAACAGGTGTCCAAAATCAATGGAAACGTGTGTGGGCCGAAGCTGATGTTTTTATATTGAAATCAGGCAATATGTATTGGAATGTTGACTAATGTCACTCTCATGGTACTGATAGAAACAACGAACTGTCGTCAAGTCGACAAGTTGTCTGACAAATACAAATAGAAACCGTTCAGTTTATGCTTTCGAGCATAGATGACTCGCAGCCATGCCGATAATGGTGCAAACGTGACTCCTATTTGCAAAGTGACAAGCTGCAGTGTATCTATTGCAATACATTTTCGATTAGAGATCGAAAAACGGCGAGCAGACATTATTTATTAAATTCTGAATTGTCACCTAAATAAAGAAATGAACATGAATCGTAGGCAGACTGCTAGTCTCTGAGTAATGGCCAGATATTGACTTTGATGTCATTGTGTATCCTTCCTACACAAGTTTTTATGGAATTCGAAATCAAAAGTCACTAAGCATAACACTGCTCGATTAAATTATAGAAACATAATTTGAATAGTTCATACATGTATTAACTAGATTGTTTACTATTTAGATTGATGGATGGTAGCATTAACTGTATCAATTTAACTTCAAAGTAACGTATGAAAGTTTCGGCAGATGATCCATAACTCAAGTTCGTCATCGATGATACTATGCCTTGGTTTTAGGCACGTAAATAAAAATATACGAAAGAAATAAACGAAATTATTTCATAAAGTTTCAGGGCTTACATTAGTGATTCATATCAAACATTAGAGGTAAAATGTATCTATTAAGTAGTAAGTAATGGAAAATATTCAACCTTGATTTGATATAACATGAAGAACTTATAAAAATAATAGCACATTAAAGAATAAAAATAGACGCGGCACATGGAAGAGAATGTCGGTCAAACGAAGGGAATACATGATTGATGATGCTAATTTCCTATTGATCGACAACGGCACGCTGTTATTTGCGTAAGTATACCGCAAAATTCTTTTCACAGTCTTATATCCAGGCAAGGGCAGTAAACTATAAAAGGCAAGACATAGGTACCTACGTCACTTAGTGATCGAACATAGTTTAATCGAGATCACATAAAGAACAATATTGTCATCAAAAGGCAAATAGTAGATATTTATTTATTTAAACCGTGCACTTACTGGCTTATAGTGGGTACCAAAACGCCCGTAAGCTTGTTAATTAAAATATAAAGCACAACATACAATATAAGAACAAATCAATTATTAAAATAAGAACATAATAATAATACCATTAAGCTAAATTTAAATAAGTTCTACACTGTATTTAAATGATGGGGTGCTCTCCAGTGAATTCCCTTTTATTGAATCTAATACTTAGAAAGGAAACACTATAATTAAACAACATTTGATAACAACTATTGCGATGTCATTGCACTGTTTATTAACAGAATGATGCGAGACTTTTTCAATTGCCAGCAATCATATCGGAGAATGGACTCAATAGCTTCAGTTTAAATGCAAATGTTTCTCATCTGCACTCAGATGGCGAAATTGGTTCAATAAATATCAATAGACCCGAGGTTGGAGAGTAAATCTTCAAGAAACACACATGTGAAACACATGTTTTGTGTCAACAGACAAATCATAAACGCATAACATCTAAAACGCCTTTCTTTTGATATTTGGTATCCATGAATGAAGTAATTTATAGCCACTAAAACATGTATCACGAATTCATGACCTTCAATGCATTAAAGAACGATGACCATTAAAAAAAGTCGGATCGACTCCACGTTTGAGTGGGCGAGCGCCTACGGAGCCTACGTATTAAAATATTTGTTGATCGCGCGTGTCGTGAGTCTTTTTGGCTTATAACAGATTAGGTTGTTAGTGACAATATGATCTCATACAATAAGCCACACAGTATGAATTCAGAGATTAACCTGAATGTAACACTTTCACCAATGATTAATGAATTTCGTTCTATTGTTGATACATTTTTACCAAAACTATGACTGGCAGGAATCTCTTTTGAATAAACGTTACAATATTTACGCAACCCACACAATCATGTTTGGTAAGTTAGCTAAACACTTTGATAGAGATCTACACCGTCTTTAATTTGACAGAAGTAGGAAATAGTTGCTGGATGTAGCAGTATAAAAGCTTGAAATAAGAAAGCAAATTGAAAGTTGTTTCGGTTCTAACAAAGACATACCTAGATGATATTTGGGAGATTATGAAAAATAAATGCGGCAAATGTTTTATTGATCAGCGATAAAAATGTATTGATTGGATTGGAACGGTGTTATTCATAGCAGCACCGTTTGCCAATAATAAAGATAATAAATCTCCTCCAAATGATTTTGCAATTGCTGTTAAATTGTTTTCTCGCTCTCTGGAACAGATTTTTTTGTAACATTTTGTAACTGAATGTTGAATAAGGACTAATGGTATTCCAGTACGAACTTAATTTATGAAAGAGAATGCTGCGTATGCCAGAAAAGGCACAAAGTAGGTTGTTGTAGAAATGCAATCCTTGTGAAGTGAGTATGCTGTAACTATGAATATTTTATAGCAAGAAAAAGGTGTTTTGAGAAGTAACTGCATAATAACGTAGATAATTATGGTATTTTTTTAAGGTAACGGAGTCACATACCTCATCCCCATAAATATTAATAGTGAAAGAAAATGAACATAGACAAACGTGGTTCATTGCGATAAATGGAAGCCAAAAAACGTTGATGCACCATTTAGCACAAATTATTCACATTACGGCAATGTCTGGAATGATTAACGTTGGTCTACGTAACATTATTTCAGCAACTTTAACAATTTGCACTAAGATTATGAATTTAAACAATATTAATTTCACAAAGATAACTATACAAAAATTGTGATATCAAGAGAAATATTAAGCAGCTACCATTAAACTGTCAAACACCAAGCGGTCACCGGTGACCGCAACCTATTGTTCTATAATTGTGTCTACAAAACCGGTACTCGACGAGTTAAGTTAGATAATCCGTGAAATTATTAGGAATTGAAATGTCGAAATTACTTGAGTCAGTATTTGGTTCTCATAAGAATTTCAAGCGTTGCGAAAAGGTAAAAATAATTTGTTTAGGTATGATTAGACCGGTTTTTGTAACAGGAC